AAGATAAATATCATATGATCTCACTCATTTGTGGAATATAATGAACAACATAAACTGATGAATAAAAATAGATACAGAGATATAGAAGCATTAAACAGACCAAGAAACCTCAGAGAGAAGGCAGGAAAGGGGGTGTGTGTGTTGCGGGGAGGGTAAGAGATCAATCGAAGGACTTGTATGCATGCATATAAGCAAAACCAATGGACACAGATAGTAGGGGGATGAAGGTATGTGCTGGGGAGGTGGGGCAGGAGCAGGCGGGGAGAGGTCAATGGTGGAAAAAGGAGACATAGGTAATACTTTCAACAATAAAGAATTTAATTTAAAAAAATTACAACACAACTCAAATGAAAATAAATCCAACAAGTGGTTGATCCTATTTTCAGCTGTATAAGAGGAAAAAGTGTGTCAGGGAACAGGGAAGACAGGCTAGTCCTTTCTTTTTGAAAATATACTAACTTCACTTAAATAGCCCCTCAGTTTGAGTGCATTCAAAGTGCAAAATGAAGGGGTCTATTTTGAAAATCAGTGCAAATGAAAACAGTCTTTAAGATTAGAATTAATAACAAAAATTAACAAGTTTAATTTTTCACCCTAAGCTGGTTTGGCTCAGTGGATAGAGCATCAGCCTGCAGACTGAAGGATCCGGGGTTCGATTCCAGTCAAGGGCACATGCCTGGGTTGTGGGCTTGATCCTCAGTGAGGGGCATGCACAAGGGAGCCAATCAGTGATTCTCTCTTACCATTGATGTTTCTATCTCTCTTTTCCTCTCTAAAATCAATCTATATATATATAAAAGCCTAAGCAACCGTCCGACCGTTCAACCAATAGCTAGTATGCGCAATGACCACTAGGCGGCAGACACTCAATGCAGGAGCTGCTGAGCTGCGGTGACTTGGCAGCTCCGGTTCTTGGGTGACGCACCCGGAACGAGGGAGGAGAGAGCCCAATTCTGATTCTGGGGTGCATCATCCAAGAACCACCCTCTTGCAATCCAAGACCCCTTGGGGGATGTTGGAGAGCCGGTTTTGGCCCAATCCCTGCAGGCCAGGCAGAGGGACCAATCTGTGTACTGGGCCTCTAGTAAAAATATATTTTTTAAAAAATGTTTGGTTATTCTTTTCAGAAAATATCAGGAAATAAAACATAACCAAATAACTGCTAACAACAACAATAAAAACATAGGCAGTTTTAAATCTTTGTTCTCCTTAGATAACATTCTTAATTTTGGGAATCAAGACTGGCTTCTGACAATAATGTCCATGTTTCAGATGTTTTAACTGAGCCTAGAAATGCCAAAGATTTTTCAGTTTTTCAAAAAATAAATAAGAAAGACTAAAGAAAAACTCCACAGTGTGTTTTGAGGTAAAAATACTCATTATACTAAAACTTGTATTACTCCATCAGACTTCACTTTACGAAATATCTAACACACATCACTTAGTCACAATTTAATGTTTCACATTTTAAAACTGAGGAAGCAGAATTGAAATGACTTTCACAAGGTCCCACAGCATGTATGTGAGTTACAGAGCTGAGGCTTGAACACAGCTTCCCAATGGTGAAGCCAACCCTTTGAACAGAAAATTAATTACAATCAATAGATGAAAACCAGATTAGGATTACGATAGCATCTAGGTATCTGCCAAAATCCTGAGACTCATCTAACCCCAGGATGGGACTGATAAATTTAACAAATTTTAAAAACAAAGATAGCTCATTACAAAATATCCAACTCAAACTCTGTTAGTTCAGTAACTATTTTTAGTTAAATGCAAACTGAATTAAAATCCCAATAGGGCCCTAACCAGTTTGGCTCAGTGGATAGCGCGTCGGCCTGCGGACTGAAAGGTCCCAGGTTCGATTCCGGCCAAGGGCATGTACCTGGGTTGTGGGCACATCCCCAGTGGGGAGTGTGCAGGAGGCGGCTGATCGATGTTTCTCTCTCATCGATGTTTCTAACTCTCTATCTCTCTCCCTTCCTCTCTGTAAAAAATCAATAAAATATATATTTTAAAAAAAAATCCCAATAGGGTTTGACAATGATAAGGATCAGCAGAGTCTATCTAAAGAACTAGGTTTTTAAAATATGGAATTGTAATCAATAAATATTAATTTTAAACCTAAGTTGCCATTAATCCTTTTTACATAAAATAGCCCCCCAGACACTAAAACTTTCAAACTGACAAACAGAATAGTGAAATGGGAAAAACATCTGTGATATATTAAGTGAGGAAGGAGAAAGCAAACATCATATCATGCATAATAAATAGATATATGCAGGGTGGGCAAAGGTAGGTTTACAGCTGTAAGTACGGGAAACACAGTTTACTCTTGTATTATTATCTACTAGAGGCCTGGTGCACGAATTCGTGCACCAGTGGGGTCCCTCGGCCTGGCCTGTGGGATCAGGCCGAAACCGGCTCTCTGACATCCCCTGTGGGGTCCCAGATTGTGAGAGGGTGCAGGTCAGGCCGAGGGACCTCACCAGTGCATGATCGGGGCCAGGGAGAGACGTGGGAGGTTGGTCGGCCAGGGAGAGATGTGGGAGGTTGGTCAGCCAGGGAGGGACCACGGGAGGGCTCCAGGGTGTGTCCAGCCCGTCTCACTCAGTCCGATTGGCCGGACCCCAGCAGCAAGCTAACCTATCAGTCAGAGCATCTGCCCCCTGGTGGTCAGTGCACATCAGAGCAACTGGTCAACTGGTCAACTGTCAGGCCCCTGGTGGTCAGTGCACGTCATAGAGAGTGGTTGAGCAGCCTTAGCATATTATTAGCATATTAGGTTTTGATTGGTTGAATGGATGACCAGACACTTAGCATATTAGGCTTTTATTATATAGGATTACTTATAGTATTACTTTCTATGCAAATAAATGTAAATTTACTTTTGCCACACCCTGTATGCAAATATATTCATATATGTGTCTACACATAGTTAATTATAATCACAAACCTTCTAAAAAGGTGTGACCAATAAACAACAATCTGTTCTTTAAAAACATTCCTTCTCTATTCAAAAGCAGACCCTCAAATATTTGTTTAATCAATGAATGAAATGTTAACAGTGCTTGTTTCTGGACTAAGGAACTAGAGTTTATTTTGGATTCTAACTTTATTTCTCTGGATTTTCCAAGTTTTCTATAACAATTATAAATTTTTATAATCAGAAAAAAATTAATCGTGATTATAAGGATTGTTTTAGTAACATAAAACTGCTTATAATATCTAGAGAAAAAAACAGAAGATAACATTGACAATGATTATGAACACAACTACAATAAAAATTATTTAAAAGGACTAAAGGAAATATGCTAAATGTTGACAGTGGTTGTCTCTGCCAGATTTTTAAAACTTTTTTGCTCTCTCCACATTTTTTCAAGAGCAGATTCCACTTAGATTTAATAAGTTCATATTGCCAAATCAACACAGACACTTCTCTGTCCTTATCTTACTCAACCTCTCAGCAACAATCAATACAGGTAGCCTTCCCATGCTGCTGAAATGCTAATCTCTCTTTCCTCTTTCCTTGCTAGCTGCTACTCATTCTTTGGTGCTGGCTTAACCTCTGTGCTAAGCTCCAGACTCAGTTACTCTGCTGTTTTTGTGGCATATCTATTCACTTGGATTTCTGACAGGTATCTCAAACTTATATCTCCAAAAAAGAGGCTTCTGATTCCAACCCTCCACACACCCCAACCTCCCTTCTCCCAGTATTCCCATCTGAGTGAATGATACAACCACCTATGAATCACCTGATTCCTCTCTATCACCTCCCAGTAATCCCCCCGACCTGCCATCCTCTTCTCTAAACAAGCTTCTAGAACATTACACGCCAACCAAAAAAACCTGATCAGTGTATACTGTATACATTTCGCCTCCTCCACATCTGTACATTCCCAACCAAAGACTGAAAACAGTACAGGCATTTACAATCTGCAGTTAAGTGGATCCATCCAGTTCAAACCCGTGTTGTTCATGGGTCAACTGTATAAACTTCAAGAGAGCAAGGATGCAACAAGAAGAACCTGACATTGCTTCTGTGACATTCCTGCCAGAGCACAGTCTGAATCTAGTCGTAAGGAAACACTGGACAGACCCAGGCTGGGGGACAGAACATATAACATATCTGACCTGTAATTTTCAAAAGTGCCAAGGTCATAAAAGATAAGGAAAAGCTGAGCAACCGATCCAAGGTGAAAGAGCCTACAGAGAATTAAGATGCACATGAAATGTATGATTAGGTCGTCTTGCAATAAAGGATATTGTTGGAACTTGATGAAACTTGAATGAGGTCTGAAGATGACACAGTAGTGGTGTATCATTGGTAATTTCCTGACTTTGATGGTTATGTTGTGGTTATGAAGCAGGAATCACACATTAAAATATTCAGGAGTGATGGTGCATCATTTTGGCAACTTAATATGAAATAATTCAAATACTTGTAACTTTTCAGAAAATTTGATATTCCCAATTTTTTAAAAATTGTGAAACAGATCACATCCTACCCTACCCTCCAATGACTTCAAAAGAAATTTAGAGAAAAAGTCAGTGTTCACCATGACTTACAAGATCTACATGATCTACGCCCTATCTATTTCTCCTACCTCATTTCCTAACATCTTCCCTTCTCATTCCATTCCAGTCAAATTGGCCATATTGCTGTTCTTTGAATATAAGCAATACATCGCCAACACATAGGGCTTTTGCACTTGGTTACTGCTGCCTGGAGCTCTTCACCACCATCCCACCCCTCTTCTCCTTGCTCTCTTCATTTCCTTGAAGAAGTCTTTACTAACCCCAGGATAAAGCAGCCACTTAACCCTCCATGCTCTTTATCCCTTTATGAATGCCAGCTTCATATTATCTTCTTTGTGTTTATTGTTGCCTAAACATATAACATATCTATTTTTCCATCTGAGAGCAAAAACTTTGTTTTATTCATTGTTGTACCCCTGGTGTCTGCAAATAGGTCTTTGCACCTGATAGATATACAATAAATAAAGTTATTTGAAGGCATAAAGATGATAAACTGTATATGTTATTCATTACTCTATGTGTAAGATAATACCTGGTTCTAATAAATCAATCCTACATCAAACTTATTCAGGAATCAAATCACAGGCAAGAATCCACAGATTTAGAATTCCACAATACATGACACTCAGCAAAAGGGAGTCTGAGAAACAAACAGCTGCACTTGTCTCACATCACTTCTTCCCACAAAGACTAATCACAGGCCTTAAAACTTCCCTTACAAACAAGGGTCATTGAAGGTCCTCAGCCTTTAGAGGAGGCTCCACTCCACAGAGAAATTCAACTCCATATCCTCAATTGCCCTCAGGCACTTGCTGGAGTGCTGTCTTCTACCTCTGCCAGCTTTTTCCATGTGATGCCAGATTATATAAAAGGGCTTGCTTGGCTGAACAGCACTTTTATCTCTTCATATCTTTTACTATTTTGTAATTTTAAATTTGATTCATCTCACATAATTTAAATCTGTTCCCTCCCCCACACCCTACTCGCCCAAAATATAGACCCTGAGACCAATGTTAGATGAGTACTCTGAAGGAGATAGATCTCAATGTGAACAACACCTGCCTTCTACATCTTTACAGGACCAATCCCACCCCAAAAAAACAACCAACAAACAAATAAAAACCGGAACACCTCACTTTCTAAAACCAATAATTCACTTTGAGACCTTGGTCTTGAATAGTGCCCCTGACATACAGAATGCTCCTTCGGAGAAGGCAGATAGCTCTAAACCTAAAATCACAGCTCCCCAGACCTTAACGGAACCATACATTACCTCCCATTTAAAAGAGGAAACCCAGCCTCAAATGTAGCATCAGTGTTGCTGTGAAGAGCCAATGAGTTTTAGTATAGACATAATCCAATGCTGCGGTTTTCCAACCACATTAATGTCATGGTTCAATGCTCCTGACTGGTCCACGTGGTAGACCAGAGGTTGAAAACTGGTTGTAGGTGACGTCTTATAAACATGTTTGCTTAGCTCACACAATATAAAACAAAAACAAACAGATAAACAAAAACAAACCTATTCTGAACAATCAAATAGCCCATTTGGTTGAAATAAAATTAAAAATTCACTTCCTTAGTCACATTAGCCACATTTCAAAGGGACACATGTGGCTAGTGGCTACCCTACTGAACAGAACAGATGCAGAACATCCTATCATGTATTAAATAGTGATGTATTTAAGCTGACAAATATTTTAAATTAACATATAAAAAACAAGACATCTCACCATAAAATACAGATTTATACTTTCTCTTGAAAAATCATGTATCTGGAAACAACTGGTGAAATTCTCACCTGATGGAACTGAGGAAGAATGAATAGTGCTGCCCTCTTTGATGTAGTGTGTGCTTTTCAGTTCATTATAGTCCTCACTATTCCTTATTGCCTCATACCTCACTCACTTTGGTTAAATGTGTGGATTTCTAGTTGAGCTTTTACAATGAAGTGAATACTTTGAGATTATCCCACTTGTCAAAAACTATTTCTGATGATTAAGTTCAACTGATATAAAATGTCAGTTAACTTGATAAACTTACTTTCAGTTTTTTGGTGAAATTTTCTAAACTAGAAAGGATCTCCCCAGTTTATTGTATATCAAACAAATGGTATTATTCAGCAATCTATGGAATAGAGATCAGTACTTTGTTTTGAAATACTTAATATAAAATTTGGGAATTCAAGTAAAAGCATTAGAATTTCATTTCAAAATGGATACATAGTTTATAGTTATAAAAACCAGTTTTTAGCGATCTAAGGAACTTGGGGTTCTCATTTTACAGGTGAGAAAAAAGTCCCAGAGAGGTTAAGAAACTTGCTTAAGGTCGAGCTGCCAAAGAAGATTAGCGGCAGAGTTCTTTTTGCTTTTCTCTTCACCCACAGCCAGGTGATACTGTGGAATATTGTTTTTTTCCCCAAAAACAGCCACACCACTATATATCCCCACAAATAATGTGTTGTCACACCTCCATCAAGAGACAGGGTCTATGCTCTCTCCCATTAAATTTGGGCAGAATTATCTAATTGCTTCGACCAATGAAATGAGAAACTGATACTAAGCGATCTCTAAGACTAAGTGTGGACAAGGCCTGCCTCTCTCTCTCTCTCTCTCTCTCTCTTCTCTCTCTCTCTCTCTCTCTCTCTCTCTCTCTCTCTCAGCACTTGCCTGAGGAAGCCCCAGCTATGTCCCCAACTGACAGTCAACATCAACTTCCAGACACTGAATGAAGTCTTCAGATGGCTGCAGCATCCAGCTTTTAAATCTTACACCTAAGGCCCGATATCCTGCAGCAGAGATAAGCCATCCACAGGTTGTATCTATCTAAATTCCTGACCCACAAAAACTATGACATATATAACTGAGACAGATGCTTTCAAAATATCATTAATTGCCTTATAAATAAATAAGCTATTTAATAAATATTTGTATAATAAAACAAACATTGCCAACCCCCCTTCTCTCCCCCCACCCCCCAAAAAAATAGAATGCTGACTTAGCTTACCATTCAGGGGGCACCATGCTTCCATCCACATCCCCCAATGTATTTCTGCCATTCATTTCAGTAGTATATATAACCCATCGGTGACGGCCTGAGTGGAAAGAGCAACATTTAGAAAAATGTGAAAAAATAAAGACAACTTTAAAAGAAAACACAAAAAACCATAATTGCAAAATATCAAAGAAGACAACCTTTTAATTAAGACTTTTATGTGCTCTTACATAAGAGAAATAGCCCCAGGTTGTAATAGGGAGGGCAAGCTTCTATCAACAGCCTGGCAGCTGCCAGAGCAAAATCCCTGCACAGGGACTAAAACCTACTCCGTGGGCAGGGCTCAAGCCTTTCCCACAGTGGAGAATCCTTGCTTCCACCCTTGCCAAGAAAGCAATGGAGAGGGTAGGGGAGTATGTGCCCAGCCAGTCAGGGTATTCAGGAGAGAAAGTGCTCCTCCTCCGAATGGGGCAAGAGAAATGTACTCACAGCAATCATACTTGGATTATATGTTTCCATATAAATATTTTTAAATGACTACCAGAGATCCTTTCAGAAATTGAATACACATAATAAGCAAAATATGTAAATGATGGTTAAATAAGGACAGTTCATGTCATCAAAATAATACGACTACATTCTTGTTTAACACATTTCTATGGAGTAGTTGGAGGCCTAACCACAATTTACAAGACTATTTCTTTCTTTATTTTTTATTATTATTTTTTTTAGAGAGAGTGGAAGGGAGGGTGAGATAGAGAAACATCGATGTGAGAGAGACATGTCGATTGGCTGCCTCCCACACATGCCCCGACCAGGTCTGGGGATCAAGCCTGTAACTGAGATACATGTCCTTGACCGGAATCGAACCCGGAGCCCTTTAGTCCATGGGCTGATGCTCTATCCACTGAGCCAAACTGGCTAGGGCAAGAAGACTATTTCTATTCGGTCTTTGCCTTAAGATGGGCAAAGACCTGGATTCCAATCAAGATTCTGTCACTTACCTATGAGTATTAGGTATATTTTATGAGACTCAGTCAGTTTCTTTGTCTATTAAAAGTAGATGATTATACCTCATCTGAAGGTTGCCGTGAAAATTAAATATCACACACATACATCTACTTTAACATCAGACATGTAGTGCATAATAAATATCAATTCCTTCTACTCCTTCCTCACTGCCCCACCCCACAGGGAATACTGAATTCAACTCTATAACAGATTTTAAGCCAATAAGTACAAGGTAATCTGCATTTACTTTATAGAAGTTATTTTATAATCAATAAATATAAAATAATGCAATTTAAACATGACCATATCTATTTAAAGAAATACAGATTTCAACCACGATTTGCTTCTTCTATTAGAGAGATTACTCTTGACAATAAATAACTAAAAGTAAGCTATAATCCAATAAGGCAGGGGAACGTGAAGGCAAATAGAGAAAACCTTGGGTAAGGTTCATAGGGTTAGGCCATGAAGCTAGAGCTGGGCCTTAACAATCTTGAGATAAATATATTAAAATTTTAAATGTGTATACTCAGACTCAGCAATTCCACTTACAGAAATTTATTCTTAGAATATTGAAAGTAGGTACAAGCAAGTTCACTGAAGCATTGTTTCTAGTAAAAAAAAAAAAAGTTGAAGGCAACCTAAACGTCTATTGATAGTAAAGTGTTTGGCTCTAGCCAGTTTGGCTTCAGTGTATAGACCGTCGGCCTTCAGACTCAAGGGTCCCGGGTTTGATTCCAGTCAGGGGCACATGCCTGGTTTGCGTTCAGAGGGGGGAAAGGGAGTGCAGGAGGCAGCCTATCAATGATTCTCATCAGTGATGTTTCTATTTCTCTCTCTTCCTTCCCTCTCTTCCTCTCTGAAATCAATAACAAAAAATATATTATATATATATATAAAGTGTTTGAAAAAATAATGGTCCTTTCATACAATGGAATATTGTGTTGTTATTAAAAAGAATGCTGTGAAAAAAAATTTTTAATAAAAATACACAGACAAATATCCAAACAAAAAAGAATGCTGTAGATTCATCCAACTAACTAATATGGGAAAATTGCCCAAGATTTTTCTGAGAAAAAAAATTCCCATTTATCAACAACATGAATAAAAAGAGTGTATGTAGATTTATACATTTATTAAAGAAGCCACTTGTACATTATGGGAAACAGAGTCAAATCAAAATTTAAGCTCACTCCCTTTACTCATACCGATACTGCACTCACCAAAAAACTGCTTGTTGTCTTCATAGTACTTGTTTCCATATTTGTCTTCCCCCACTAATGTACCAACCCTCACATCATTTGCCCTGTGAATACCCAAAAGAAAAGAGATAGTTTAGAAAGATTCTTTGTTCAAAACACAAACATAAGTAGAGAACACCGACTTTAAGAAACAAAGGCTGCTGCATCAATAAGAAAAAGGAGGAGAAGCTCGGGGAGGGACACTAGCATAGACTTCCAGCCTTCATCTCGAGGCTCACCCCGCCCACTGCTGAACACTCACCCCCAGGTGCAGCTCTAGCACTCA